CAGCGGTGCCAGGAGGGCACCGGTCCAGGCTCCGGCGGTGATGATGAGCCGGGGGGCTCTGTACACGCCGGCGGTGGTGGTGATGGTGAGCACGGCCCCGGGCTCAATGTGCAGCACCCGCTCCCCGTCCTGCAGGGTGCCCCCGTGCCGGCGGAAGGCATCCTGGGAGGGGATGGGGACAGGAGGTGGATGCAGGGACTGAGCCAGAGGTCACCCATCCTATCCCATCCTATAGCATCCTACCTCATCCCATCCCCACTGATCCCATCCCCACTGATCCCATCCCATCCCAGCACATCCCGTCCCTTCCCTTCCCATCCCATCCTATCCTATCCCATCCCTTCTCTTCCCTTCCCTTCCCTTCCCATCCATCCCAACCCATCCCACCCCATCCCTTCCCACCCATCTCATCCCACCTCATCCCAGCCCATCCCATCCCATCCCATCCTATCCTATCCCATCCCTTCTCTTCCCTTCCCTTCCTTTCCCTTCCCATCCATCCCAACCCATCCCACCCCATCCCTTCCCACCCATCTCATCCCATCTCATCCCATCCCATCTCATCCCAGCCTATCCCTTCCCATCCCATCCTATCCTATCCCATCTCTTCTCTTCCCTTCCCTTCCTTTTCCTTCCCATCCATCCCAACCTATCCCACCCATCTCATCCTATCCTATCCTACCCTATCCCATTCTATCCTACCCTGTTCCACCCTCTTGACAGCACCCACCTGCACAGCCCGCAGCGCCCGGTCAGCGAACAGCACCCCACCAGTGCTGTCCCACAGGGCCACCTCTCCATCATGCAGCCGGAGGCCTGGGAAGTGCTGGGCCAGCTCCAGGGCACCAAGGACGTGGTTGTCCCCCAGGCTCTGGCGGCAGCCCTCCAGCTCCGGGTCACCCGCCGGCCCCAGCACCACCAGCCCCGTCCGCCTGTGTCCCAGCAGCCCCATCAGTTCCCCCTCCATGCGCTGACCCCACTTGCTTTGCCCCTGGGGGAAACCGAGGCACTGGCAATGGTGATGCTTGGGGTGTGCGATGCCTGATGTTAGGCATGCTGGGTGATACAGGCTCTACAGGTGATAATGGGGATATGGGTGCATGTGGTGATGCATGGGGAGGATCCGGATGCCAGCATCCCACTCACCACCACCCTCCCCCAATCCAGCTATTGCCATCAGCCCTGACCCCAGCAGAGGAGGATCATTCGGATGCTCATTTCCTTAATGATGCTTCCTTATGAGCCCCATAAATTACCCAGGGCTGGCAGCTGCTGCTGGGGCGGCCTCATCCAGCCCTGACACACAGCTTCCACAGCCCCCAGCCCCACACGGAGGGGACAGTGCCCTGTGGGGCCGCATCCCCATCGCCATCACCTGTAGAGGCTGGTGCCGGCCTCGTCCTCCAGCCGCTTCCAGAGGCGGAAGCTATCAGGCATCATGCGGGCATAGGGCAGCCGGGGGTAGGCGCTGCGGGTGATGCGGCTCTGCCCATGGGAGCTGCCCCGAGAGTGGGGCAGGAGGAACTGCGGAGCAGGGGGACAGGGGGGTTACGGCCACCCCCTGACCCCACTGATACCGGAGGACACCGCCTGCTCTGATGCTTTCCCAGCCCTGTGGTGCTGGGAAACCGGGGTCCTGGCACTGGGGGCACTGGGGTGCTGGCACTGGGGGCATGCGGCAGCTCCACTCCATGCCGTGCAGAGGGTATCCAGGTCTGCAGGCACCCACCCCAGCTCCTTGTCAGGGCTGGGAGCACGGTACCTGCTCCAGCAGGAGGGTGTCCCTGTGGCGCTGGGCCAGGTGATAGGCGGTGAAGGAGCCCTGGATGCCGGCCCCGATGACGATGGCGTCGTAGGTGTCCTGGTGGGGCTGGCTGGAGGCAGCCATGTCTGTCCTTGTCCTTGTCCCCATCCCTGCCTGCAGCCAGGAGCAGAGCCAAGGGGAGGGATGGGGCAGAGTCCAGCCATTGGTGGTGGAGCTTTGGCCACCCTCCAGCCCCAACAGGGACAGTGGGAGCCGCATCCTTCCCACCAAGACCAGGCTGAACCCCACATCCCAGGGTACCCGAAAGCACTGCACCCCTCCACCACCTTCACCCCCCTCAGCAGGATCAGGGCAATAGGATGGGATAAATATGATGGAAAAGTGTTTCCAATCAATCCCCCTTTCCCTCCCTGCTGGTCCCTGGACATGGGGCTCAGCAACGCTCCCATTTGTGTGCAATGCGAACCCCCCGCTTGCTTCAAGACAAGCAGGTTGGTTTTTTCCCTCCAGCACAATTTATTACAGCCATAAACCATTTTGGTGCCATCTTTTGTTGTTGCTGCTATGTTTTTAGCAGGAGATAGGGGTGATTTAGGGCTCAGAGAGGCCAGGATGTGAAGCCCCATGTCCCACTGGTGCTGGTGGAAATTATGGGGTGTGATTTGGGGGTTGAGGACACTCAGTGATGCTTTGGGGGGGGGTAACACAGGCAAGGGATTCCAGTGCCCCTGTGCTGCCTGATGGCTAATTAGGGGAATTAATTTACTCCAGCTTTCGTGGTGTAAAAGGCGTTACTTACTGGTTAATTGTCGTTATTATGACATGTTAAATATCATTACTTACATTGCTGCTCGCATCTGATGATGGATGAAGCACTGGGGACCAGTGTGGGGGGAATTCCTTCCCCCCCCAACATGGTGCTCAGTTGGGTCATGGGGATACCCCAGCATCATGGAAACGCAGATCCAGTAGCAGGCAGGGATAGGGGGGTGATGGGGCAAAGATGGGGAGCACAAGCAAAGGATGCGGTCCCTCACAGACCCCTCATCAGGACCACTAATGCAATGAGTACATACCGGCCTCATCATCGCTGCGATGCCCAGGGCTCTGCATCACGCGGTGCCCCACTAAATCAGCACATCCTCCCTCGCCTTTGATGTTACAAGTAATTCACCCATTTCCCCAGGTTTCAGCTGCCTTTTCTGTGCTTTGAACAGCACTCTTACCTGCTCTTCCTTCCCTTTTTTTTGCTGGGAAGATGAGGAATAATTAATTATCCGTGAAACATTACATGGCAAAATGAACTCCTCTCCTGTTAACGGGGTGTTAATGGGTCGGGTTGGAAGAGCCTTGCTCACAATGCCGTGATGGTGCGGGGATGGTTGTTGGTGTTGGAGGAGACAGTGACCATCTTCAGGGCTTTGTGGGACCCCTTAAACCATCACTTTCATTGCATGGATGATCCCAAATAGGGCTTCTCCCATCTTGGGGGTGTCTCTACCTCAAACCCCCCTAAAAGCAGATGCATGGGCTCATCTTGCATTGGGGTGCTACTTCAGCCCTGTGCTGGATAGGAGAGAGAACGTGGTCTCCATCACCCCTGCCTCTTGCCCTGGGTTTAGATTAACCAGAGGCAATGCTTGAGACAGCAAGAAATCCATTTCCCAAAGCAGCCGGCGCGGGTCAGGAGAGCACAGTAAAAATGAAATACTCCCAGTGCAGGCTGGGAGGATGGATGGGAAAACTCGGGGCTGGCACTGGCACAGGGTGGGATTGATGGGGGAACAGCCTGGCTCGGGCTGCGGGAGCTGAGCTGTGGGATCTGATCCATGGGGAGCAGGACAAACTGGGAATGAGGAGCTTTGGCCGAGGCCAGGCAGGGCTCAGCAGCTCAGAGCTCTGTACCTGCTGCACCCATTGCACCCACAGCACCCATTGCATTCATTGCATCCATTGCACCCACTGCACTGGCAGCTGGAGTATCCCAAAAGCCCATCACCACCCATGCAAATGCTTCATCCTGGGCTGTGCCAGCCTCATACATACTCCATCAAAGTGCCAACTGGTACTTAAGGAAGAATTAGGGAGCCAGGATGCTCCCTGGGGAGCACAGCATCATTGTGCTGTGCTCGCCCCTATTTATTACCCCATCCAGATGCTTTGAAGGCACCTGCAAAGGGTTTGTTTGCTCTGTGTCAATCCCAAACAGGAGGCAGCCCCTCATTAGCAGTCCAGGTACGTGCCTGGGGAAGCGTTGGGTGGCTTAAAAATAATTTGAATATCATAATATCAAAACCCTTCAATTTGGCCTCAAAATGTTCATCTTCCAAGCCCTACCAGGCCTTCGGTGCATTAAACATTGATGCAGCTACCGGCGGATCAAAGTTTGGGGTTTAGAGCTTGAAAGCGCTTTGCAGGAAGCATCAGTTGCCCCCTGCCTCCCCCGCATCCCTTTGGGACGAGGACCACAGCATCGCTCCCACCGCAGGCATGGGTTTGCCCGCATCCCGAGCCGAGGTTTGCCGTGCTCCTGGCAGAGCCTGGGATTAGCACTGCAAACCCACCGGGCGACGGCTGGTTGCGTGGGCCGGGGCTGGCCGGGCTGCGGGCCCTGTGCGGTGCTCAGCGTCGGCGCGGGGAGGAGAAGCCATCTGGGCTTTGGTGGAGATGGGGAGGGGGTTATTCAACAAAGAGCCGGGTTTGTGTTCATTTTTAACACGTCCGGCAGCGGTGCCAACGCCATCTGCCTGCTGCAGGGCTGCCGGCCCCCGGGGAGCCAGCGGGGTGGGGAATACACCCAGAATACACCCCCCCACACACACCAAGCTGCCCCGGGCCCAGGTTGCCCTGATTAGGGATGATGAGCTCAGCCCTAACTGGGGCTATTTAGGAGGAGGAGGTGGAGAAGGGAAGCTGGAAGGGGTGGTGGGGGGGGGTATATGATGGGGTGGGTACCGCTGAGCTTTCCCACAAGCCCCCAGCCTGGAGGGTGGTGTATGGGAGATCCCCTCCCCCAGCCTCCATCTCCCAGTATTTGCGGGCGCTGTGCTCGGAGAGTTACGGCGCGGAAGGAGGGGGTGGCAGGGAGGAGCCCCCCCCTCTCCGTTCCCTCCCCATTCCCTCCCCATTCCCTCCCCATTCCAGCCTGCAGGATCTCCGTGCGCCGCACTCGGAGCATTACGGCGGGGTCCATCCCGTCCCCCCCCCAGCTCCCTCCACGGCCGCGGGATTGGCGGGCGCCGCACTCGGAGCGTTGCGGCGCGGCCGTGCCCGCAGCGCGGAGCTGTCCGCGGTGCTGACCGCCGCCGGCCATGGGCTCCGCGCCGCCGCCCGCACGGCTCCTGCCGCTGCTCGCCGCGCTGCTCGGGGCCACCGCACACGGTAAGGGCCGGCACCGCCATCACCCCCCCACCACCACCACCACTTCCCCGCTCCCCTCCTCACAACGGTTACCCCCCCCCCCCGCACCCTCCCGCCCCGGTCACCGCCCCATACACACCAACACCCCCCGGTACCACTGGCCCCAGCCTTGGCGCCGCTCAACTTTGCCAACTTGCGCTCGACCCCCCCGCACCGGGGGAGCCCCCCCCATCGCCTCTCCGTTATCCGCCGCACCCCCCCCCCCCCTCCTTCATCCGGTGGTGCGGGGAGCGGGAGCCGTCGGGGGCGCGCAGAGCTGTTTGCAGCCGGGCTGGTGCAACGCCGCCCCCGGCGGGCTCCGGAGACAGCCCCTCTGCCGGTGTTAGCGAGGGGGGGACCCGCGCCCTCAGCATCAAGCGCTTCGACACCCCTCCCGGCTGCGAGCCGGTCCCTCCGTGCTGTGGGGCATGGGGGCATTCGTCTCTGTCCCCCCCCCTTCCCCTCTGGCTCGCTTGGGGTGACCCCTTTGGCTATGGGGAGGGCGCAGGGGAGATGAAGGGATAGCGAGGGTTGGTCCTTCCTAGGAGAGCAGCCAACACCCAGCTCAGCTCCTTAGCTCTGCCACCCATGGGGCACGGGCAGCCTTGACGCCGTGCGGCTCTGCTGCCCCAAACCCCAAGACTGGGTTCACACCAGGGCTTGGGGTGCCCCAGTTCACCGTGGTGCGGTGGGGATCCATCCCTGTTGGGGTGCAGGCAGGGGGCCGCAGGCTGCCTGCGGGGCTCGGCCAAGCTGCAGGCAGCAGCCGTGCAGGGACTTACATAAACTCCCCATCTGGCAGCAGAGCCCAGGCGGGGAAGGGCGTCGTGGCCCTGTGCCCGCTGCTATTCCCGTCTCACTGTGCCGCCGGGAGCGATGCCACAGCCTCTTGCTTGGGTGGAGAGGGTGGATGGGGGGACTTCTGCATGGCAGCGAGTGCGGCAAGGCCACGGTACCCACATCTCCCACCCCACTGGGTGTAGAGGGGTTAGGGGGGGTGTCTGTGTGCCTGGTTCTGTCCTGGGAGCAGGGCTCTGGCTTCCCCCAAGGGAGGCTGGTGCTTACAGTGTCAGTTTAATGATTTCTAATGAGCAATTACCTCTAGTCAGTCCCCTAATTTCTGAATATCAATAAAGTTAATTAAACTCTGTACGTGCGTTTCCCAGAGTGTTAGAGGTAGGGATGCCCTGGAAGGTGCCAAGCTCTTCCCAAGGATGGGAGCTTTGGGGTCTCATTCACTCTGGCCCCCCCAGTGTGTTGGGCATTGCCCTTGACACTCACGCACTCCCTGTCCCCCATCAGGCAGGGCTCCCAGCCCAACACCCTGATTTCCATGCAGCACCACCTTGTTGCCATGGCCTTGACTTGCCATTGATGGACTGGAACATGCTGGGGATGTGCCGTGGGTCTGGGTGATATGGGTACAGAGTTCACAGAACCCTCACCCAGGCCAAGGAGATAGGTGATGTCCCCTGGATGGTGGCAATGTGAGGCTAGGACCCAGTGGCCTGCAGGCTTGGCCCAGCCATGGGGCAGCACCAGCTGCCAGTGCCCACAGGAGTAAGTGGGGTCTGGGTCCCACAGCACTGATGCAGCTGGGGTATGGTGCTGGACATGGTTCCATCCACCCTGCCCCACTGCAACACCTTTTCCTAGCTCTCTAAAGCCGTGGCAGGCCTGCCTGTGTTGGGGGATCATCTATGCTGTGAATGGACCTCCTTGTAACTTGGGGTTCTTGCAGTCTGTGGGTTGTGATGGGTGGCACAGGGCCTGACTGTGCCCTCATGAGCTGTGCCATGCTGTCCAGTGTCACATCCCCCATGATCATAGGAGCAATGGATGTGGGGACAAGACATCCGTGGGGATGTGGGTGCTGGTCGGAGTTTTGGGGAGAGGAGAGGGACTGGAGCAGGATCTGCTACAGTAATTAACAGCGTATGTGCTCATCCCCTGCGTGCCTCGGAGGAGTTCATCACTGCCACGCTGCGTGCGCCAGGCCGGGATTATGTGGATAATGCTCTTAAGCCAGAGGATGGGAGGGCAGGGTTCCCCATGGGGATGCAGGGCTGCACCAGCCGCCTCCATCATCCCCATGGGAGCCTGGCTGCCGCAGCACCTGCTGCAGGTGGGGGTGCATGGAGCAGGGCTGCCGGCCCCAGGCTCTGTGCAGGCACTCAGCAGAGCCAGAGAGTGGGAATGTGGGAGGAAAACGGGGTGCAAAGGGGCAACGGCACAGCAAGGGCACCGCAGGGCTGGTGCAGAGCAATGGAGGGATGCTCAGATGGGAGCGGGGCTCACTAGGGTTGTGTTGGGGTGAAGGCCAGGGATGATCCCAGGATCCAGGCCCCCTGTGAGCACAGGGAGGCCCCAGGGGAGGTGGATGGAGTTGTGTCTGCGGTGACTCTGGCTGCAGAGGATAACTTTGCCTCCGATCAATTCTTTAAATGCACACAATTGAAAGATTGCCTTTGAAAGCTGCCTATAAGCAGGGAGGTAATGGATTCCCTCTAGTCACAGGCAGCAGCTCCAGAGCACCAGCATCCCTTCCTTTGGCTGTTGGAGAGATGGAGCCAGCCAGGGTACCAGCACCACTCCCTCCATGGACATCCTTGGGTGGCAAAGGGGCTGCCTGGACCTGTCAGAGGATGTCTCCATCTCCCTGGCTCCCCACCAGCCTGCCCTGCAATGGGACCTGGCTCCCCTTGTCGCATCCTCTGAGGTGTCAGAGCATCCCATTGGGAATGTGCTCAGTGCCCAGCCTGGGTGAGAAGCAGCAGGCACCGGCCTGCACCCTTGCCATGCCATTGGGGATTATTACATATCTAATTTAAACACAGTAACGAGCTGTGCTGAAGGGATCAAATATTAATCAGCTGCAAGCGTGCTGCTGTGACCCTGTGAAAATGGAGAGAGGTGCCTGGAAGACAGGATCAGCTGATGCTGGGCAGTGCATGGGGGTGATGCCCAGGCAGGGTGGGCTCTGGGGGTCCCCCAGGTGCCCTGGGAGGTGGCAATGGGAGGGGATGGTGGCTTTGGTTCATCCCCATCCCTGGCAGTGCTCAAGGCCAGGTTGGACACAGGGGCTTGGAGCAAGCTGCTCCAGTGGAAGGGGTCCCTGCCCGTGGCAGGGGTTGGAGCTGGATGAGCTTTAAGGTCCCTTCCAACACAAACCAGTGTGGGATCCCACATGAAGAGCAGTAACGGAGCAGGGTTTGCTGGCAAGGGGATGCTCATGTTGAATTCCCAGGGGGGAAAACGGGGGTGCTGGAGGCAGCTGGGATGCCAGCCCTGGTGTGATGCTCCATGCTTCCCACCCGCTGGGATGGATCCGTGTCTGTGGGGAGGGTGATGGCTGAGCAGCCCAACACGGGGCTAGACAAGCACATTTCAATTACTGTCGCCAGCAGCAGGCACAGGGAAGGGGAGGGCAGTGTGGCTCTGCTCTTTCTGCCTGCCTCCTGTCTGGAGCCATGCACTCAGGGGTGCCCTATAGGGTGGGTGTCCCCTCTGCCACCCTGGTGTGCCAGGGGATGAGCTATATTGGAGCCCTGTGGGGAGCTGGTACCCATGCCATGGGCACCATGGAGCGGCACAGAGCAGGTGCTGCCCATCAACGGGGGCTCCATCCCAGGGGATACCAACGCAGGGCTGGGCTGGGGCTGATTTGGGGAGGAGGGACGTGGCGCCGCACGGCTCCAGCGCTCAGGTCCGAAATAGCAGCAGACACACAATCCATCACTGCCGCCGCCGCCGCGCAGGGAAATTGCTGTACAAACGCATTAGCTCCGGGGGAAAGCGGGATTCCACAGGCTGTGGGCAATGAGGAGGGGATGGGGCACCCTGAGCAGGGGTGGGGAGGGAGGGAGACCGCGGGGATGGGCACCCCGGTGCCCGCTGGGCTCTGCCCCTGCTGCCCGCTCGGTGTCGGTGATGCTCCAGGGAGCGGGCTGTGGTGACATGTGTCAGCGGGTAAATGACTGTTCAATTCAAGGAGAAGCGCAGAACATACAAGGTCAAACGCTTCCCCGCCAGCGCCGCCATGAATATTAAACTGAGCTCTTGTGGTAGCTGCCGCGCTCACCAGCAGCATCCCCAGGCACCGGGGCAGCCCCTTGGTTCCAGCTGCTCCAGCATCCTTGGCTTGGGTGTCTGGGCATGGAGGAGGCCATGGGGTAGCAGGATGTGGGTGCCAATGGGGTGCTCAGCTTGCTGTATGGCGGTGCTCTGGCTGCGTGGCAGTGGTGTTGGCATAGGGAGCTGCCTGCACATCCCTGCTGCACCATCACATCGTGTGTGTGTGCACCTCCCTGCACTCACCTACCCACTGCTTGCACCCACCATCCCTGCCTGCGCCTTTACACCACCCACCGCTCCTGACGCTGCCTGTGCTATCACACTGCCTACACCTCCCCATCCACCCTCATTCCCTGCCTGCTGGTCCCCATTCCCCACGGCTACCAGAGCAGGGCATGGAGATGGGGCTCTGGCACCAAGCAGGCACATCCCGTACCCAGGGCATGGGCTGCGGATGGGGGGAGCGTGGCGCCGGCTGCCTGACAGCTCATCCATCACCGCTGCCGGCCCCGGTGGTGGGGGCAAAACCAGATTGGATTTTAAATTGGAAAACAACCCTGGATTCCTGCAAGCCCCAACCCCTGCCCCATGGACCCGGCTGCCTGCACCTCCCGCCAGCCATCACCCCCCTATTGATGGGGAAACTGGGGCTCGGAGCAGCACCGCGATGCTGCTGGGGCAGCCGAGGGCCCTGACCCGTGGCCTCCGCTCTGTTATTACTTGCTTGTCGGGCAGCATCGATCGCTGCTCCCCAGGAGGCCACGTGCTGCCTTATTTATGTATCTGTGACAGCCAGCAGCATTGATTCCCAACGGGGAGGCAGCCGCCGCCACAGCCCCATTGGTCTCCAGCATCTCCCCAGCTCCCATTAATAGACTCCTGCCTGGTTAAGCTAATGTAAGGGATTAGGACCCCAACCCAGCTTCAGCCCCCCCCAATGGGCACGCAGCTATTGGGGATTTGATGGGTCCTTTGCAAGTGTTTGTGAGCACCCTGAGCCCTGGAGGGGTGCCAGGGCCTGGGAGGTGGGTGCTAGGTGGCAGGGTTTAATGCTCTTCTTGGGGCTATGGGAGGGCCACAGATGTGGTGCTGGAGATAAGCTGCTTAGAGATGTCTGTAGGGGTCTTAATCTGGTGGTGCCTGAGGGACATGGGTGGCAACATCTGGGCACTTGCTGCCTTCTCACAGTGCTCCAAGCATCCTGCATCCAAGGGCATGTCCATCTCTGAGCATCCTCTGGTGCTGGAAGCATCCTGTAGTGCTGGAAGCATCCAGCGGTACGCAGAGCATCCCCTGGTGTCAGGAATACCTCATGGTACCCAGAGACATCCCACAGTGCTGGGAGCATCCTGTGGTACACAGAGCACCACGTAGAGCCCAGGGTGTCTAGGCACTGCCCATCGCAGGGTGCCACAGCACGCAGGTAGGACCTGCTGTAGGGATCTTGCTATGGGGGGTCCCACTTCATCCAGCAGCCCCAATGGGGACCACTGTGCTCCCAGCACCCTGGGCAATGGGTGCAGGAGGCCAGGGTGAGCATCCCTCCTCCAGCCTTTGCTCTGAGGGGCTGGCCCCTGAGCACTAATCTGCTATTAAAGCCTAAGAGAGGTTTTGTTGCCCTTCAGTACAAACTCATTTAAGTTTTATGTTCAAATGAATGGATCCCATTAAAAAATGATGCGGGCCTTGCTGGGGGGGCAAGTGTGGTCAGATACTCACCTCCCACCGGGCTGCTGTGCCCGGGGCATTGCCACCATCCCTGGGTAATGGTAAGGGAGCCAAGGGGATGCACTGGGTGATGGGGATGCCTCCTGGCACCCACCAGCTCCCCCCCACGCTGCTCACCCAAGCTGATGTCTCTTAATAGTCCCTTAAAAGCAGCAATCACAGAGTAATTAATCTTCGTGGGGCCCTGCCCTGCTATAGATCAGTATAATTACCTGGTAATTGGCAGTATCATATCATCAGCACTCGTGCACGGTGGCAGGACATGCCTCCCAACTGGCCATAGAGGGATGCTACCAGCATGGCATCCCCTCCTGCTGTGGTATGGTGGGGCTGGGGAGCTGTGCCCCCCCCCCCGGGAAAGAGGGGACCAGACCCACCAGGGATTGATGCTGGTGGCTCATTAAGGCTGATTAAATGCTTTTGGGTTTGGTCTAAAGGCTGTAAGTGTCTGGGATTTGCTCAGGGATTAATGCTCGGAGGAGCCACGGCATTCCCGGTGCAGCTGGTTATGGCAGACACGGCAATCACCTGTGTGTCTGCAATGGGTGGGCACCCCTTAATGTGGGGCAAGCTGCAGTTATGCATTAATTAGCCACGGTTTAATTGCCAGGGCTGCCCCAGGGCAGGGTCCCACTGCATGGGGTCCATGTGCTTGTTTGTCATCCTGGTTTTGGTGCAGTAGTGGTGAGCAGGAGGTGTTGCCCCTCGGGATGGAGGATGAAGTGTTGGTCCATGGTGAAGTGCTGGTGCCCAGCGCAGCACAGGACTGATGTTGCACCAGCACTGCTCCCTGCTGCAGCATCAGCCCATGTCCAAGGCTTGCTCCCAAGTGCCACACTGGGCACAGCATCGGTTTGTGAGGGACGTGCATCACTGGTCCCCAGGGCCATGTCAGTCCGTGATGCAGCATCGATCCACAGTGCACCGTTGGTCCAGACTGAAGCCTCGGTCTCTGATGCAGCACCAGTCTATGACGCAGCATCAGCCCACAGCTCCCCAGCACCCCGTGCTCTCTCCTCCCCACAGGCTTCAATGGGCTGGCGAGGAAAGCCGGGGACAGCGCTGAGGCCGAGAGGGAGCCGACGGCGCTGCCCACACCGGAGGAGCGGGAGGCAGAGGCTCGCTTTGTGAGCACAGCGCCCACGCTGAAGCTGCTCAACCACCACCCGCTGCTGGAGGACCTGCTGCACGAAGCCTTCCTCAAGAAGGACTACCTGGGCCAGGCACCGTTCCTGCCTGGGGGCCCTGGTCCCATCCTGCCCGCTGATGCCCTGCAGCCAGACCCTGAGCCCCCCCCACGCACCCCTGCCCTGCCCAGGCCTGCCTTCCCCACTGACCCATTGACCACACCAGCAGGGCACCCAGGCCCATGGGGGGATGCGTGGGGGGCTGTACCGGCTGCTGATCCCTCGTGGTCCCCTGCCAGGGTGCTGGAATCCAGCCCAACATCCCCCCCCAGCCAGGCACCCATCACGCCCGGTACATCTCCAGGAGCCCACACTGGGGATGCTGTGGTCCATGGGGATGAGGAGGGGAGCACCACCACCTCCACCATCACCACCACCACTGTCACCACGCTGCAGGGGCCTGGTGAGTGCTGGGCATGGAGATGGGGGGAGCTGGGGTGAAGTGGGGCTGAGCAGGAATCTCCTCTGTCACCACAGCCCCCTGCAATAGGACGCTGGCGGGTCCTGAGGGCTGGCTGGTGTCCCCGGAGCTGGCCAGTGTCCCCTATGATGGCAGCCTGGACTGCACCTACACCATCTCTGTCTACCCTGGCTATGGCGTGGAGCTCAAGGTGAGATGGGAACTGGGGTGGGATGGGGTGCCAAGTGCCCATGGGCACGCGTGGCATGTCCCCTGCTCTGTGCCATCACTGTGGAGTGCAGCAAACACATAGTCTCGTCCCTATCCGATGTCCCCAAATCAGCAGAGCTGGGATGTAGGTGCACAAGCTGGTGGGATGCCCCAGGATGCTCCGTGCTCACCGGCTGCCATGGCTGGTACCCAGCACAGGAGCAGGGATGCAGGGTTAATTAATGCAGCACTGATGAAGAAGGTGTGAGCAATGCTGGGGTGCAGAGCCAGGAAAACCCAACTCCCATCTGCTGGAAGCAGAGGCTGGTGCTGAGGCCATGTGTTGCTCCCATTGGTGGCACATGGATGTGTGTCCCCACCTCTGCCCACGGCTTGCTGAGCCAGAAGCAGCAGCTCCCCAGTGAGCCCTGGCTCCTCCATCACCATAGACCACTGCTTCATTAACATCATTAACAGCACATCCCTCCAGAGGGCTGGAGCTGCTCTCGGTGTGGGCCTGGCTGTGCCGTGGGGGGCTCCTTCTTTGCAGAGCAGGATGGTTTATGGTGCTGGTAACCGTGGTTGAAAGGCGCTGCCCTGCACGGACGCGCTCCAACGCGCTATCGACCATGGAGAAGCTGCCCAAGGACCAGCCCCAAGGCAGGTACCGGGGTGGTGATTCCTGGCTGTGCCCATAGGTTCACAACATCAGCCTGGCAGAGGGGGAGACGCTGACAGTGGAGAGCATGGGGGGGCTGGAGCCCACCCTCCTGGCCAATGAGTCCTTCCTGCTGCGGGGCCAGGTCATCCGCAGCCCTGCCAACATCCTCACCCTGCGCTTCCAGAGCCCCCGGCCCCACAGCCCCAGCTCCTACCACTTCCGATACCAAGGTATGGGGCAGCATCCACCACCCTGGTGCCTCCCTCGCTGGCGCGATGTTGATTCAGAGCATGGTGATGGGCGGCAGGGTTTACCTGTGCCAATGGTGGGTTAAGTGGGTGAAGAACACAGAGAAGGGCAATGAAGTTGGTGCAGGGCCTGGAGCACAAGTGTGGAGAGGAATGGCTGAGGGAGCCAGGGGGGTTAAGTCTGGAGAAGAGAAGGCTCAGGAGGGCCCTGATTGCTCCCTGCAACTACCTGGAAGGAGGATGGAGCGAAGTGGGGGTCAGTCTCTTCTCCCAAGGGACAGGACAAGAGGTAACAGGTTCAAGCTGCACCGGGGGGGGGTTTAGCCTGGATATTAGGAACAATTAATTCATGGAGAGGGTGCTCAGGCATTGGAACAGGGCTGGGGTCAGCATCCCTGCAAGTGTTCGCACCCCATGGAGATGAGGGTTAGCAGTGGCCATGGCAGGAAAGGTCTTGATCTTCAAGCTCTTTCCAACCCGGCTGACTGTATGATTACAGACAGGCATAGGCACCGTGTCACCCAGCCCTGCAGCACCCATACCGGGGTGCTGGGTGGGCTGGGGTCTTTATGGGGGCTCCATCCCCATCCATAACACCACTCCTGCCCCCAGCCTACGTGCTGAGCTGCCCCTTCCCGGCGCGGCCGGCGTTCGGGGAGGTGTCCGTGAGCAGCCTGCACCCCGGCGGGGACGCCCGCTTCCGCTGCGCCACCGGCTACCAGCTCCATGGCACCCACCGCATCACCTGCCTCAACGCCACCCGGCCCTTCTGGAGCGCCCATGAGCCCCTCTGCCTCGGTGAGCATCGGTACTGGGAGAGGCACAGCCGGTGTGGTGCAGCCCGGTGCTGATGGTCCCTTCTCCTGCAGCGGCGTGCGGTGGCGCGGTCCGGAACGCCACGGTGGGACGCATCGTGTCACCCGGCTTCCCCGGGAACTACAGCAACAACCTGACGTGCCACTGGGTGCTGGAGGCGCCCGCCGGACACCGCCTGCACCTCCACTTCGAGAAGGTGTCGCTGGCAGAGGATGATGACAGGTTGGGCAACAGGGTAGGGAGGAATTGGGGGGCCAGGGTACCGTGGAGCAGCTCCGCACCAGGCCATGTCCAAGGATGGGGCTTTTGGACAGACCCAAAGATGGGTGCTGTTGGCAATGCCCATAGATGGGTACCTTTGGTCATATTCAAGGGTGGGTGTCACTTGACATACCAAAAGGGAAGATGCTGTTGGTCATGTTGAAGGATGGGTGTCACTGGCCATGCTCAAGTGTAGGCACTGTTGGCCACGTTCAAAGAAGACACCATTGGCAATGGCCAAGGGTTGGTGTCATTCATCATGTTCAAGGATGGGTGTCATTGGCTATGCCCAAAGGTGGGTGCTACTCATCATGTTCAAGGTTCAATGATACCAAGGGTTGGTGTCATTCATCATGTTCAAGGATGGGCATCATTGGCTATGCCCAAAGGTGGGTGCTACTCATCATGTTCAAGGTTCAATGATACCAAGGGTTGGTGTCATTCATCATGTTCAAGGATGGGCATCATTGGCTATGCCCAAAGGTAGGTGCTATTCATCATGTTCAAGGATGGGCATCATTGGCTATGCCCAAAGGTGGGTGCTACTCATCATGTTCAAGGATGGGCATCATTGGCTATGCCCAAAGGTGGGTGCTACTCATCATGTTCAAGGATGGGCATCATTGCCTACGCCCAAAGGTGGGTGCTACTCATCATGTTCAAGGATGGGTGCTGCTGGCCATGGCTGCGGCCATGCTACCACCCATGCCCAAGGACGGGGGCTGTTGGCCACGGCCACCACAGCACCCTGCCCCTTGCCATGCCTTGCCAGGCTCATCATCCGCAACGGCAACAACGTGGAGGCACCACCGGTGTATGACTCCTACGAGGTGGAGTACCTGCCCATCGAGGGGCTGCTCAGCACCGGGCGCCACTTCTTTGTGGAGCTCACCACCGACAGCAGCGGGGCCGCTGCGGGCATGGCGCTGCGCTATGAGGGTACGGGGCCGGGATGGAGGGGGGCACCCCGGCACCCCCATGCCCGCCTGGCCCCTGCGGACCTTCGCCCCTGTGCCCGCAGCTTTTGAGCAGGGGCATTGCTACGAGCCCTTTGTCAAGTATGGGAACTTCACGGCCAGCGACCCCCGGTACCCGGTGGGCACCACAGTGGAGTTCAGCTGTGACCCCGGTTACACGCTGGAGCAGGGCTCCACCATCATCGAGTGCGTCGATCCCAATGATCCACAGTGGAATGAGACGGAGCCAGCATGCCGTGGTGGGCACCAGTGGGCAGGGAAAAGGGAGCTGGAGATGGGGTTTGGTGGGTGCTGGAGTTGGGGGGTGCCATTGTGATGGAGCTGGGGATGGAGCAGGAGGGATGCATTGTGGTGTGTGCTGGAGCTGTGGGATGCAGTGGGAGCTGCGGCTAATGGGTGGTGGGTGCTGTGGTGGGTGCCCCACAGTGATGCTGAGCCCACCATGCACCCACAGCGGTGTGCAGCGGGGAGCTGACGGATGCATCCGGCGTGGTTCTGTCACCCAACTGGCCAGAGGCGTACGGCAAAGGCCAGGACTGCATCTGGGGGCTGCACGTGGAGGAGGACAAGCGCATCATGCTGGACGTCCGCGTGTGAGTGCGGGGACGGCCACGGGGATGGAGGGGTTTGGGATCCATGCTCCCCCCTGCCCTCACCGCCCTGCTCCCCCAGGCTGCGGCTGGGCTCAGGGGATGTCCTCACCTTCTATGATGGGGATGACCTCACGGCGCGCATCCTGGGCCAGTACACGGGTGCCCGCGGCCGCTTCAAGCTCTACGCCTCCACCGCTGATGTCACCGTCCAGTTCCAGTCTGACCCCGGTGCTGGTGCCTTTGCCTATCGGCAGGGCTTTGTCATCCACTTCTCTGGTGAGGCCCATGGTGGGATAGTGCCACCATTGTCCCTGGTGTCCCACGCTACCCCGCTCACCCTGTCACCCTCACAGAGGTCCCCCGTAACGATACCTGCCCCGAGCTGCCAGACATCGCCAACGGCTGGAAGACATCCTCACAACCGGAGCTGCTCCATGGCACCGTGGTCACCTACCATTGCTACCCTGGCTTCCAGCTGACCGGCACCGACCTCCTGATGTGCCACTGGGACCTGACATGGAGCGGCGACCTGCCCACCTGCGAGCGGGGTGAGTGGTACCCATCGGCATCCCCGTGCCCTGCGGAGCATCCCCATCAGCCACCATCATCACCAGTCCCTTTGCCTGCAGTGACCTCCTGCCGGGACCCCGGGGACGCCGAGCACAGCCGCAGGGTGGTCTCCAGCCCCAGATTCCCGGTGGGAGGCACCGTGCAGTACATCTGCGACAAGGGGTACATCCTGGCGGGCAGCGGGACCCTGACGTGCCACGAGCGGGCCGCGGGAGGACCCAAGTGGAGCGACCGCCTCCCCAAGTGCATCCGTGAGTCGGGTCCCCTCTCCCAGGCCATGTCCCCTGCACTGATGGGCACTGATGACGGGCACTGATGGGCACTGATGGCACCGTGTCCGTGCCCCACAGCGGAGACCTACGAGCCGTGCCACAACCCCGGCGTGCCGGCGGGCGGGCGGCAGAGCCCCGAGCGCCGCCTGTACCCGGCGGGAGCCACGCTGCGCTTCTCCTGCGCCGACGGGCGGGCGCTGCTGGGCGAGAGCAGCCTGCGCTGCCTGCCCGGGCACCCGTCGCGCTGGAGCAGCTCCCCTCCCATCTGCAAAGCGGGTGAGAGCACCCCGCATCACCCCACTGCGCCCCTCAGCACCCCACTTCTTGCTGATGATCCCGGCTTCTTTCTTTCCTCCAGCCTCCTATGACGAGTTTTACAGCAACCGTAACCTGGATGGTAAGGGCAAGGGGGTGATGGGGTGCAGACAAGCACCCAGGGTGTAGGTGCCCCCTCGCTGAGCCGACTATCCCATGCAGCCGTGGCCAAGGCTGTGCCATCGGGACCAGCGCTGGAGGGCACCAATGTCGCCATCGCCGTCTTCCTGCCCGTCCTGGTGGTGGCCCTGCTCATCGGGGGCATTTACCTCTACTTCTCCAAGTGAGTGGCCGGGTGGTCCCCGGCACCCCATGGGGGTCACCACGTTCCTCCTGCTCCATCTGTCCGCTCCCCACAGGCTCCAGGGGAAGCCGTCCCTGCAGCTGCCCCTTGCTGGCTCCCACCCCTATGACCATATCACCGTGGAGTCGGCTTTTGACAACCCCACCTATGAGACAGGAGTAAGTACGGGCCCCCTAGGTCCCCCCAGCCAGAGCTGGGCACCCCAGGGACCCTGCGTTGTATCAGCCATGTGTGCCAGGGGCTGTGTGTGGAGTAGGACAGGAGTGGAATGGGGCGATGCATTGCAGGGATCATGCTTTAGGTAGGATATCCATCCAGGGACCACACATGGAGTGGAATATCCATCCAGATCCCATTCACAGGATAGGGCATCCATCCAGGGACCCTTCATGTGACAGACATCCATCCAGGGACAACACATAGAATGGAATATCCATCCAGGGACCCTTCATGTGACAGGCATCTATCCAGGAATCACACATAGGATGGAATATCCATCCAGGGTCTGTGCATGGGATGGAATATCCACCTAGGGACTCTTCACAGCATGGGACATCCACGCAGGGACCACACATGGGATGGAATATACACCCAGGGCTTGTTGATGGGATGGGACATACACTCAGGGATCATTTCCCAGGATGGACATCTATCCTGAGGCCATTCATGGGATGAGGCCATGCACAGAATGGTATAACCATCCAGGGACCCTCACAACATGGGACATCCACCCAGGGACAGCACATGGGGTGGGACACGCATCCGCCGAGTGTCCAACCCCTCGCAGTCTGTTTTCTTTGCAGGACACAAGGGAATATGAAGTGTCCATCTAGGAGTGGGCAGCGTGGAGCCGGGCACTGCAGCCACCCCTCCCGGGCCCCCCCATGCCCACCAGCCCCCCAGCACGGGCTGGGTCCACCTTTCCCAATGAGACCCAAGCCGAGCGCTTGGTGGGACTGACCCAGCCCCAGCCCCCCTCTCCTGCACCCCCCAGCCCACCCGGACCCCCGTGGGGTCTGCCTGCGCCCCGCTGCCACCCGACCCCCACCCCGGGGTGCTGAACTGGGGGGGGGGTATCCCCGAACCCCCAGCCACACAATGGAGGGTCCCAGGCGAGGGGGAACGGGGTTGTGGGGACCCCCCCCCGGCAAACACAGGGGGTGCAGCGGGGAGGGGGACACCCTGCAAAGCCCCTGGGGGGGAGGGGTTAAAGGGGTTCGCGTGGCCATGGGGGTACCCCCCCACCTCTCCCACCTCAGCACAGGTCCTGTCCCCCCGTGTCTCCCGCCGCCGTCACGCAGGGACGTGTCGTGTGTCCCCGACACCGAGCATGCTGCGTCCCCCACCGGCCCCGCCCGCTTGCTTCTCCCTCCCTGGGGCGTCCCCTCCGCCACCGACGTGGCCCCCCCCGCCTGTCCCGGCACCCCAGCAGGTACGGACCCGGGCGAGGACGGGGGACACCGGGTACAGCTGTGGCCCACCCCCCGACGCGTCCCGCCCGGGCTGGGGGTCCCTGGGGTGGAGAGGACCCCCCCACACCCCCCATCTTTTGGTTGTTTCATTAATAAAAACAGGTGTTTTAGAAGAAGCGGTGGCGTCTTCCTCAGCAGGGCAGCCCTGCATGGGGGTGCACCCCCCCTGTGTGCCCCACCGGGAACCCCGAGACTCCATTCTCCGTTGCGCTGCACGGGGGGAATTGCCGCTTTAAGAGGCGTGGCCTCCGCGAGGGTGACGTCACGGGAATGATTCCGCGCCGGCGCGCCCTCTGCGGGTAGGCACAGCCCACCTTCCCTTGCGTCGTGACGTCACGGGCGGCGGCACCACCCGGGGGACGTGACGGCGGCCACGCGCCTGCGCACCGCCCTCTTTCGCCCCGCCCCTCTATTTTACCGCGCCTGTGCGCACAGCCGGCATGGCGCATGCGCGGTAGGACTATGTGCGCTCTGCCCCCCCTCCCCTCCCCGCCCTCTACCGGCGCGCGAGGGCTGACCGCGGGAGGCGGCGCGGGGCGCGCATGCGCGGTGCGGCCCGGAGCGTCGGCGCCGCCTGTGCGCGGTGCGTGCGCGGTGCGTGTGCGGCGGCGGCGGCGGGCGCGGGGCCGCCCCTTCCCCTCCCTCCCTTCACACGGCATGGCAGCGGGAGCGGGGACCCTCGCGGCCGCCCCCGGGCCCGCCTGCAGGCGGAGGAGGCAGCGGCCCGTGGGCTAGGCCCTGCCGCCTGCCCCCCGCCTCGACGCGGAGCCGCCACCGCTGCTGAGGGGCCACCCCCCCTTCCCTTTACCCCCCTCATAACAAGCCCCCATCCCCGCCTCGCTCCCTCTCGCCGGGGGGGGGCGGCTCTCGGGGCCGCTCCCGGGCTGGATGAATGTGGGAGAAGATGGAGACCAAGACGATCGTCTACGACCTGGACACCTCTGGGGGGCTCATGGAGGTGAGGCCCGGGCGGCGGACGGGGGGGAGAGGCCTGGACCGGGGGAGGCCGCGGGGCTGCAAAATGGCGAGGGGCACTCACCCCCCCGGAGCCCCGTGGCCATAGAAGGAAGTGCGGAGGGACGGAGGCAGCTCGCCCAATCCCCGGGAGAGGCCCTCCGGACACGGGCCCGGCGGGCGGGGCGGGCCCGGCACAGGCCTTGTGTCCCGTTTCCCCCCCCCCGGGGCCGCTTTCCCGTCGTCGGTGAGGAGGGAGAAGGGCGTTTGGGGTCAGGGTCGGTGCCAACCCCTCAGAGGCGCTGTCTGTGTGTCTGTCCCTGCAGCAAATCCAGGCCCTCCTGGCTCCCCCCAAGAGCGAAGATGGGGAAAAGAAGAGCAGGAGGCCCGAGAAGGAGCCCAGGCGAAGTGGCAGGGCCACTAACCACGATAGCTGCGATAGCTGCAAGGAAGGAGGGGATCTGCTGTGCTGCGATCACTGCCCCGCCGCTTTCCACCTCCAGTGCTGGTAAGGCTCGGCGCTGTCCTCCCTCCGGATCCAGCCATCCCGGCCCAGGCAGCACCTTCCCTCCAGCAGCTCCTACTCCCCGTTAGCTTCGCTCTGGGAAAAGGGGGGGGTGCACGGCAGGAACAAAAAGGAGGTGCAAACCTTCAGCCCCCCCCCCACTCATGTCCATCCCCTTCTCTGTGGTTAATCCACGGCAGCCGGGGTGCAGAGCGTTGTGGCTGCCCCCCCTGCGGGTGGGGGTCTGCCACCCTCCTTTCTTTATGTGCTGAGCAGCGGCCGAGAGGCCTGGAGGAGGAGCGAGGCCCTGGCTGCGCGGCCTGCCCGCGCTGCTGCTGCCCCTGCCCGGCCTTCCTCCACCCTCCCCAGCGGGGAACTTCCCCTCCTCACCCCTCTCCGAGGGTGCTTTGCTTGGGGGGGGGGGACACCCTCCGGAGCGGTGTGACCAGAGGGAGGGAAGGAAGCGGCGGTGGCGTCTCCGCACCAGGCCTGACATTCCCGGCGCTTCCGTGCTGCTGCAGCTGCTGGGAATAATGGAGGTTGCTGTCTCTGTGTCTCCCTGCCTCACTGTTTACAATATGGCGACCTTCCTTTAAATTATATTTTTATTCTCAGCGCCATTTTGGCTGCATTTGTGGCTTCCAAACCCTCGCAGCGCTCCCTCCAACGTGAAAACACCTTCCCTGGGGGCAATCTGGCCCTCCAGGCTTTAAGATTGGCCGGGTTTATTCCTTTCCCTCCTTTTTTTCCCCCTCTTCCTCCTCACTCCAGACCTGCTCTGGCAGTGTCTGCTGTGGACTAGGGGGCATTAGGATCCTCTTGCAGGGCGTTGGGTGGCTTTGTGGGTGAAGGCAGATCTCCCTGCATGCAAATCTGGGTGCAGTGTGGGAGCCGAGGTGCATGCGGAGGCGGTGGAGAAGCTCTGGTCGGTGCAGGCTGCAGCGGGGAAGGACTCTTGCTGCCTTCCCTCGCAGCTTCCTGAGCTCTTGGCACAAAGCGACGCGCTCCAAAAAGCACCTCAACTTTCCATCCCAAAGTTTTTCCCCTTTTTCTGGATGCATCCCAGGCTGCCTTACCCGAATCTCCCCTTCAACAGTTGACGCAGGCGGTTTGTGTTAAATTAGCACAGCCAGAATGGATAATGGAGTGGAGGAGGGAGCGGGGCAAGTCAAACAGCTGGAGCTCGGGCGTAGAGAGTATTCTTCCTTAGGGGAGATTTTTTAACCACATTCCTTTCTCTCTTTCATGCTTTGGAGCTTTGTTTGCCACCCTGTTACAGCTGTCTGTCTGCTTTTTTCTCTCCCCCTTTTTTACTTGGTGGTTGCACTGCGTTTCTGTGCTAATTGCAGGTCTCTGAACACTTATTAAACTGATTGCTGATACCAGGAAAACCGAGTGTGTGGTCACAGTTCTGTAGGGAGTGTCCCGTTAGCAGCGTGTAGCCAGACAAACCCGACAATGCTGTAGCATGCAGCCATGACATCATCCCCTCCTACCCTCAGGAAGTGCTACTGGTGGTAGTGCAGATCCTCTAACATTTACTAGGTGGACACTAATTGCTTAATTATTTTTGCCCAGCATTCTTGGTGGGCTTTAATTTAAGTTGGGAGGAGGAGATTTTTTAACTTCTCCATGGCATATGTGCTTAAAAACTCAGTGTTTGCTTTCAGATGCTGCTGAGCGCATCCTGAGCCTTCTCTTAGCGAGGCTGGAGCGATGGTTAAAGCTTCACGTTTTGAGGTGGAAGAGCTGTGACTAATGCTGTAGGGCTTCCTGGTTGACTCTTGAGTCTTGGTTAAGTCTAACCGTAAATGAGACCGCTTTGTGCATGGCTAAATCTGGCTGAGTTTCATGGCTTAATTTGGCAGGTTTCTTGTAGTTGGTGAGTGGGAAGCAGTTGTGTGAATCGGATACCGGTAAAGCTTTGGCTGTACTTGAGTTAGTTACATTATAATTACTTTAAACATACATATTTTTGGCTAAGTGGTCACCTTTTGAAACAGAAATGGAAGGAGCAGTTGTGATGATGCTTTCCCGCTTCAGTTGTTGCCTTTCCTGGGGGATCCTTTTGACAATGGCACAGACTCTGCTGTGGGGTGGGATGTGGCATGGTTTGGAGATAGGCTTCACCTGAAGCTCTCTGGCTTGGGTCTGGTTCTGCCTCCCTACTCGTGAAAGCCTGTCCATGGCTTGGCCAAGGTCTTCCCGTGAACCGGGTTGTCTAGAAGGGATGCTCAGGCTTTGTTTTCCTGTTTTCTTCCCTTTACCACCTGCATCTTGCTTGAAGTAACCTTCTGCTCTGGCTATAAACCTAGGCATAAAGGCAGCACTTGTAACTTCCTTTCTTCTTCCTTTTGGTTTTGTATTTGAAGAGTAGCAGCTGTAATGCAGTGCTTGTTTGAAGTCATCTGAATAGCAGTTTAAATGCTCTGCTGGGGCATAGTAGCTGAATAGTGTCGACAGCTTACCTGTTCTTTAAATATTTATTGCAATCTTTAGCACCAGGTTGCATTTATTATCAGCATAGAAAAAAATTAAAGAGAAATTAAGAAGAGCAGCTCTTAATTGGTCTGGGGTTTGTAATCAGTTGATTAAAGCTGTGTACAGAGACCATACTATAAAAGACAATGAATGACAAGGGTGTGATCAGCCCAAGTCACGCAGGCGGCTGGAGACGAACCCAGGAGTTAACCCAGCTCAGTAGCCCGTAAACTAGTTTTGTGTCTTCCTGTGTCGAGAAGTCTTCTCGGTCGTGTTGCTTGAACCTGTGGTGAGCAAGTTGGCTTCATTAGGTGAGTGTGTGGTGCTCAAATTCAGCACTTTGCTTTAACTTCAGTTTGGGGCCTGAACCTGTTGCCTTCTGCAGGAAACAGAAGGCACTTGGCCAAAATCCCCCGAACTTTCCGAGTCTGATGGTATTGTGCGTCTCTGATGGGAAAAAACAAGTTCTGTTGATGCACTGTGCAAGTGGCTTCCTCTTTCATCTGTCAGTGTGTCAGCTCTTCTCACAACTCCATTTCAGAACCTCTCGCTCGGCATAAAACTCCTGCAGGTGACCCATGGAGCAGGAGGATCACCATCAGGCTGCAGATAAAGTGGCTTGGTGGAAGGGATACAGGAAAGTGTGAAATCCCTTCCAGACACTTAATTTCAACATACTTGGATTAATATTGTGGTCAGGTGACTGTCTTCAGGTTTGAATTTACAGAGAGGGCTGGGGCTTTTTCAGTCCTTAGTAATTCTTGAAACAGAGCGAAGGCTTTTTAGCTCTTAAGTCTGCTTTTGGTTATGCTGTTTGCCCATAATCCGCTGCTTTGGGTAATGGTGCAGCCTGCATTTCCATTCTGATGTTCTGCCTTAACCCAGGCCCCTGGGAATGGTGTACGCTCCTTCTTTACATGATTGAAACCCAATTTTCCAGTGCTATTCTATTCTTCCCCTTTTATATCCTCCTTCTGGCTATGTGATTGTTAGAATTCCCTATGTTTTCTGGAGCCCGTGGTAAACTCGATTCACGTTGGAGCCTGTTTGCAGAGTGCCTGATGTTGCAAATTCATTACAGCTTCGCTGAAGGATTAGAAAGATCCCTGGGAGAGGAAAAGTTTAGTTAACAAGCAGGGGGAGGGGAGTGACAACAGGAGGGAGAACTAACACAGAACAGTTTTGTGTTGGGGTTTTTTTTCATCCCTGTTTTTTAAGTCTAACTGTCCAAGTTTCTGGTTGGAGGAGCCCAGAATCCCCAACCTCACTGAATGCTGCTCTTCACGTCCCTCTTACAAATCCCTGCTGCTGGCTGTGAGGCACTGCTAGCGTGGCAAAGTGACCTGAGGTACCTAAAGCTGCCCCTACCCTAAACAGACAGTACCAGTTTGATGGCACTGCCCAGCAAAACCACTTTCCTTAGCTGCTGGGAGAGGTACGCTGCACCCATACTAGGGCCTGCTAGCTCCATCAACACTTCCCTCTCCATGTTTATATTTGGAGCCTTTTGGCTCCATTTCTCCTTCAGTTTGGCAGCCTTTGCCAAAGTTGTCGAAGAACTGGAGTAACAGAGCTGCAAAGAGAAGGAGTGAAGCTTAAACTAGCCTGAGTTTTGCATATTTTCTATGAGTCACAGTGGGTAAGCGCTTTGCACAAAGAGTGGAAAAAAGTTGTGTTAGGTAGGACATCTGTAACTCTTCCCCCCTTTACTCAGGTCTGAAATGTCCTGTTTTTATCTTGGCAATTGGTCTGGATTTGGTTTTTTTACATAAATACCTGTTCTCTGAGAGGGGAGGGAAACTTTAGCCTGTCTGTTGTGTTAGCTAATCCTTCCTCTAATGGGCATCTTTGGCTGCCTCCAGAGTTTCAGGTGAACCTTTGAATGGTCTGAAGCATCTGCTGCTGCAAGGAGTGGCAGGATAACCAGAAATGCTGCTGGAGAGGTTGGCCTCATCTCTAATAGTGAACTACAGAGGAGCAGGTTTCTGTATATTGAATTCATTGTGTTGCTGGCACTTCTGACAGCTTCAAAAGCTTGTGGTTTAACTGCAGAAAGTTTGTATTTTGAGGCTTTCTGGGTTCTTTTTACATTAAATAACTGGCAAAACACCTACTTGAATGTTTATGTGAGTGCATTTTGAAGATCAGAGTAAGCTCTTCTGTTCCAAACATTAATTTAAACATATCCACCTTTACTGATAGTTTGTTAAAACAATAGTTTTTAGTATGTACTTTTTAACCCCCCCCTAAAGTTTGGGGTTTATGTGTCTTTGGTTCTGATATTTGGTAGCATTGGGACCAGCCTGGTCTCGATCCTAAACCAGAAGGAAGCAGTGGCACTGGCTTGGTTCCTTACTGTGGAGGGTCACTGCGCATGTGCCTGCAGATGTGGTAACATGATCAGTCTTGGCAGTTCTGTTGAGCAAAGTTGTACCAATGAGATCTTTCCCTCCCCTTGTTTTGTCCTAAATCGCTCCATGCAAAGGCAGATAAGGTCAGCCCAAATCTACCAATTTAAGCTG